CGGGCAGCGCAGAGGAGAGCTGAGTCAGGACGGGCTGTTTTCTCTTCCCAACTCCCAGGCAGAAGATGAATCACGGTTTTGTGGATAATGGCTTCCTGGGGAGCTGTGCCTTGAGGTCATCCGACGGCAGGTGAAGCCCTCGGTTCTCAGTGAGGGAGATGCTCTCAGACCACCCAGAGCGCCCAGAGCCGGTGCTGTCACGGGCTCAGACATCCATCCCTCCGGATTCTTCCTTCCATCGGAAAGGGAGGCGCACACCCAGAGGGACACGCCACCACCCTGAAAACAACTGCCCCCTCGAACCAGGAACCACAACGCTGAGACAGGAGAAATGTAGCTAAGCAAGAGGGCTCTACCACCAGATGAATTGTTTTTAAAATCTGATCTTCATTTATCTGATGATTAAAATCAGTCAACTTCGGCCACAAACTTCTTCCGCACAGGTAAGTCCTTACATTTTGTTCATACAATGAAAACTTCCCTACCAAGTTGACATTCCCCCTCCCAATGATGCCAGCTAAGTAAGCAAGTGTACGATCTGACATTAGAAATGACCACAGCCCTAACAGTGTGGCTCAGTGGAGAGAACGTTGGCCTGCAGACTAAAGGGTCTCCGGTTTGATTCCGGTCAAGGTCATTTGCCCGAGTTGCTGGCTCAATGTCCAGAAGGGGGCGTGCAGGAAGCAGCTGATGATGATTCTCTCATCATTGATGTTTCTCTCTCTCTCCCCCTTCCTCTCTGAAATCAATAAAAATGTATTTAAAAACAAGAGGGAAAAAAGAGACTCCCTGACTCTGACTCTAAATAAACTCAGAATAAGAAATTCTGACCTGACCAAAAAATTAACATAATGGAAGAATCAGAACACTGGCGTAGAGGAGGATTGATGAGCTGATAGATGCAGCTCACCTTTCATTTCACAGGACAGAGTCTGAGGGGAAAACCCGAGCCTGCCTGCGTCCTGACTGCACAGGAGCCGAGTGCAAGAGCCCTGCCCCTGCCCGCCGCCCGCTGCCCGCTGCCCGCCGGGCCCCGCGTGGGTCTGCTGCCGGCGATGGAGGAGCAACTCCCGCTCCTGAGCCTGACAAACAGGGAGGAGGCCACAGATTCTCCCACTGCAGAGCCCCCTCTCTGCAGAGCCCCGCCCGAGTGCCCTCGGCCTCTCAAAAGCGAGCACGCACCCCAGCGGCCGCACCCATCCCGCCTTTGGGTGCGGGTGCCAGCACCCAAAGGTGCTGACTTCTAACCAGACTGCCGGGCTTATGAGCAGGTGGAAAGTTTGCTTTTAACGCTCTGTGAGGAGGTAGGGAAAGTGATTGAATTATGACGTCACTACACAGAGATTGGTAGCTGATGAGCCATTTTCTGGGGTTTATGTCAAAGCAGCCCCACTTCCAGCTGGCGGAGACGTGCCCTATGCACTTAGATGGCGGAGCCGAGGGACATCACCGCCTGCGACGCCCGCAGGGCCATGGGCCTGCCTCTGGGAGGCGGCAAAGAAGGCCCAACAGCATGACCGGATTCCTGCATGACAGCGCTCAACAAAACCAAACTTTATGCCTGGCCCGTACGGAGCATCGACCTATGAACCAGGAGGTCACAGTTCAATTCCTGTCAGGGCACATGCCCAGGCTGTGGGCTCTATGGGGCGGGTATGCAGGAGGCAACCAATCAATGGTTCCTTTTAAAGTGTGTGTGTGTGTGTGTGTGTGTGTGTGTATATATATATATATATATACACACACACACACACACACACACACATATATATATATATATATATATATATATATATATATATATATATATATTTTATTTTTTTTTTCCTCCAGAGAGGAAGGGAGAGGGATAGAGAGTTAGAAATATTGACCAGCTGCCTGCTGCACACCCTCCACTGGGGATGTGCCCGCAACCAAGGTACATGCCCTTGACCAGAATCGAACCTTCAGTCTGCAGACCGACGCTCTATCCACTGAGCCACACGGCTTCGGCCCATCAATGATTCTTATTGCTGTTTCTATCTCTCTCCTTCTCCCTTCTCTGAAATCAACAAAAAAATATTTTTAAGAAAATCAAACTTTAATGCTACTTCCTAGTTGTCATACAGAAAGCCAGAACAGGAGCCAGCAACACCTATGTTTTTTAGACAATCCGGCTCTGACAGCCCGTGGTCCTCAGAACTCAGTGTGGCCGCTGAGAGCTCCTGGAGGCGGGCGCTGGGCACGCGGCGGACGACGGCTCCCGGCTAAAGGGGTTCAAACGGGAGCGACCTGGAAGCAGTTCCCTGTCACCCACTCCAGCTCTCCAGTTCTCTGAGCATGAAGCTCGCTTCCGTGGTGACCAAGTTACAATCCTGATTCACGGGCCACAAGCCACGTGTTCCTGCCTGCAGGACAGGACAGAGCTGTGAGGATTCCAATCGGGGTCTCTACAAGGGCGCGCAGGGGGCTCCTAACCGCCGTGGGAGCCTCACCACTGATCCGTAAGACCCTGTAACCAAACGCCTGTTTCTACACACAAAGACCAGGTCAAAGGACAGCATCGTGACGGGTTAGTGACAAACCAGACCAGGGGTTAGCGCTAATCCAAACCACAGACCCCTCCGAGACTGCCTCAACTCACACACAAAGCTCCCCACAGAACAGCTCATTTCAGCCCTGCAGAGAAAGAGGGTCTGAGTAAGCAGTGACTCTCTCGGAACGAAGCAGCAACTGCTGTTCAGGCAAAAGCCTGCCCAACACGAAAGCGCTTTGTGAAATGACCGCAGTCCCGAGCAGCGCCCTCCCCGGGCGCCGCGGCCGCGCTGCCAGCAGGTGCGGGCCGGGCGCCGGGAAAGGTGTCCGAAGACCGAGGATGGAATAGCCTGGTGCCCAGACATTAGGTCCCTGAATCCAGGTGGCTCTTTCTCGCCAGTCTCTTAAAATGCCATCATTGGGAACGGTCCGTGTAAAACTGCTTTTGAGTATGTGGCGACATTTGGAATGTGAACGTGGTCCTTCTGTGCAAAACACATGAGCGTGCTGAACAAGAGGGGAAGGCTGCCCAGGGCCCTTACAACAGACCGACTTCTCCTGTTAGGGACTTCTTATCATGCGCACATATGGGTTAAAACTCCACATATAACCCGGCAATCCCCATTTTGAAAATAAGCAGGTAAATGAATTTTTTTTTTTTTTTTTTGCTGCTGTATCTTTTAGAAAAGCAAAATCAACTCACATTTAAGCACCAACTCCATGCAAGTAACCTGAACGGTTCAGTCTTTTTGTCATGTATGAGGCCTTTGGTTCTCCAACTACATGGGATCTGTGTTGTTAGCTTAAAAAATACAGAATTGGCCTTTCAAAAAAAAATAGTCATCTACAGCAACCAACAAATAAGTCTCAAGCAACCCTGCTGCCTACAGCTGCCTTCTGCAGGCTGGGGACGGAGGTGGAGAGCAGAGGCAGGGGAGGGAGCCAGCCAGCCACACAGCAAGGAACACGCCCCCATCATGTCCTCCGCTCCATCACAGGCGCAGTGCTCAGCCTCCCGTCAGCCGCCTTAGAAACGACTTTTAAACGGAGGCAGGAAGACTGCCGGCTGGAAAAGGCCAGCTCCTGGGAGGGAGGGGCCGGGTATCTGGGATCTCCTCCCGGGCTCTGTGGAAAGCTGGAGGGGTGCAGGCACAGCCCAGGATCCTCTGTGCGCCCCAACGGCAGGCCGGCAGGAAATGCCTGGTTATCTTTCCCTTTCTGTTTCAATCAGAAGCACTCAGAGCAGCACACCCCATGCCTCCTTCGTGGAGCCCCTAGCAACTGCTCTTCCTCCTAGCATCCCTCACCCCCCACCTCAGCCCCCCTGCAGCCAATGGAAAACAAATGCCTAAGGCCCTGGCTGACCCTGAACTCAACTTCCCCTCCCAGGCCACTGTCCGTTTTGCTGGGAGGCTGAGAAACCTCACCAAGCACCCATCCTCACCTCGTCCCAATGGGAAGGGCAAGGGCGTGACTGGGAGAGCCCTGTCTTCCTGAGGAATAACCGTGCTCCACAGCCCCCTTCCCGACGGAACCCCCGCACACTAAGGGAAAGCTGTCCCTCTCTCCTCTGCGCCCAGCCCGCGCCCCCCGCCGCCCGGCCGGCAGGACAAGGTGGTCAGTGAGAAACGTGGGAGGAGCGGCCAGGGGAGCCAGCGAGGCTGCTGCCCAGCGCCCGGGGGGGAAGGGGGGGCAGCTGCGTCCCCGGGGAAGGTGCTGCCGAGCCCCAGACGCCTCCGCACAGGCCACCTCCCCGGGGCAGGGGGCAGCTCTGGGCCTGGGACAGGGGCTGTTTCCCGCCGAGAGGCCAGGCCTCCCCAGGGAGGACGGGGCGGAGTGGGCAGAGCAGCCCTGCGGCCGCCGGCGGGAACCCAGCGCGGCGAGGGGAAAGCGGGGTGCTGGCTGTGCTAGGCGGCCCGTGCGGGGGGGGGGGGGCAGGGGAGGGGCGGGGGTAGCAGCTACCTGCAAGCGGGGGCGGGGGGGGGTCGGGTGGAGGCGAGGGAAGGGGGAGTGGCTGGAGCGGGGACCGGCGGGATGGAGGGGCTCAGCAGGGAGGGCCGGCAGCTTTGGGGGGCAGGGTGTGCGGAGGGCATCGGCCCCCGGAGGATGCTGCGAGAAGAGCGGCCCCGGGCGGAACATCTGCCGGAGGGAGGCGGGCGGCGGGCGGGGACCGGTCCCCGGGAGGAGGGAGGAGGATCTGGCTCGGATGAGGTAATCTGGGGAAGGGAGGGGGGCTCAGGCCCAGGATGGGGAGCCCGGGCGAGGGGTCCGAGCCAGGCATCTGGGCAAGGGTCCGGGGAGGGCGGGCGGGCTGAGCGCCCTCGGCCAGATGGCTCGGACCCGGGGTGGGCGCCGGAGCCCGCGTTGGGGCCGCCGCCACGGGAGGCCGTGGCCGGGCCCAGGCTGGTCCCCCAGTCGGGATGCTCCCGGCCCGTGGGGGAAGGCCCGCAGAGGGTGGGCCCGGGCCGGGGCTCCGCGCCCCTTACCTCTCCGCTGCCGCCTCCCCCGCCGCTCTCCCCAAACACCGCCCGGAACCGGCGCAGGTTGGTGCCGATGGCGGCCGAGACCTGCAGCGCCGCGTCGAAGCCGGGGCCCACCCGGAGCAGCGCCGGCCCGGCGGGGGCCGCGGGCGCGGACGGCGCCGAGGACGCGGCGGGCGCCGCGGGGGCTGCCGAGGCGGCGGCCGCTCCCACCGCAGCCGCGGCCCCGCCGCTTCCCGCCGCCGCGGCCGCGGGGGAGGGGGGCGCCCCGGCCGCGCCGCCGCCCGCGGGCCCGGGCGGGAGCAGCAGGGCCGGCACGCGCTGGCGCGGGGCGCCCCCCAGGCCCCGGCGCCCCCCGCCGCCGCCGCCCCCGGTGGTCCCGGGCCGGGCGGGGAAGCGCCACCGACAGCTGTGCGCCATGTTCGCCCCGTGAAGTGCAGCGCGAGAGGGAGAGGCGACAACACAGGGGGCGGGGAGCGGGCCGGGCCCCGGAACCTGCCTACGCCGCCCGGCGCCGCCCCGCCGCCTGCGCGCCGCCGCCCGCCATGCCGAGCGCGGGGCGCGCGCGCCGCCCGGGAACCTGGATGCGCGGCGCCGGCCTCCGCGCCCGCCGCGCCGCCGCCCGCCCGCCCGAGCCCCGGGCGCCGCCCCGCAACCTGGATGGGCGCGCCCCGCCCTCCGCAGCGCCGGCCGGCGGGGGGGGAGCCCGGCGGGAGCGCGGGTTCCGGGGGGGAGGGGGCCCGCAGCCCGCGAGCCCGGCCGTCACTCTGGTCCCGGGAGGCGCCCGGAGCCGCCCGCCCAGGCCGCTGCCCGGAGCGGCCGCCGGGCCGGACCGCGAGCCGCCGCCCCGGGCGCGGGCTCAGGCCGCCTCTCGGGCGCCGCGGGTGTGCCGCCTGCGAACCGGAGCCCAGCTCAGCGCCCGCGGGACCGGGAGGCCTCCGAGCACGCGCTGCCCAGCACCGAGCCCCTCCCCTCCCGCGCTCCCTCCGAAATGTGCGCGGCGGCGGCCGCCTCCCCGCCGGGTCCGGGCTGGGACCCCGCGCCCCCGCCGTGAGCGGGCCGCTTCCCGAGCCCCCGGCTGCCGGCCGCCGAGCGGGTGACGGCGCCGGGAAGTTGGGGAACTAACGGGGCCGGGCGAGCGGAGGGCGAGGCCCCGCCTCCCCGCCGCCGCCGCCGCGTGCCTAGCGGGCCCGCCGTCCGCGCCCGGCCGCGAGCACGTTTCTCTCCGTAGGGGCGGGGGGCGTCCGCGGGGCTTGGGGGAGGGGGCAGGAAGGGGGGTGCATCTCCACCGGGGTGCTCATTGCGGGAGAAGGAAGGCGCCTCCCGCTGGGCGCTAAAAGCCTGAGGCTGGAGAGCAGAGCGGGAGGGAGGGGTTTGCGCCGGAGAACCTGAGTCGGTTGACTGGGAATCGATCCCCCGCCTGCAGGCCCGGGCCGCTCCACCCCCGGCTGAGGGGGAGTTCGCGGGAAGGTCACGCCGCCGCCCGGACTCCGCACGGGCCCAGCGCAGCGGGAACATCACGGCCGGCGGCGGGTGCGGGGGGACGGGGACGGGGGAGCAGGTTGCAGTCCGCTCCTCTGGACCGTGCACCGCGCGTCCCCAGAGAAGGTCCACGGCCTCCTGGTGCTGAAACGGCGTCCCCCGCCGGGGAGATGGTCTGGAGCGGCCAGTGAGAGGCAGAGAGAGGGCAGGCGCCGCGGCCGGCTCTGCCCCCAACTCTGCCGCATCGACTTCCAGCCGCGCAGATGGAGCCCAGAGGGTTTGCAAAGCGCGCACAGAACCAGATTCCCTTGTTACCTCACTGGTTTACTAGGTGCAAAAATGGTGGGGGTCGTGGAGGCAGCCCCAGGACGCAGCTAAGGGGGACATGGCGCCCATGGTGGAGGGTTCTCCATTGCAATCGTTTGGCGCGAGGGTTGGGGTCTTGCCTCAGGGTAGTGCTCTGGTCAGTTACCCACCGAGGCCCACGTGGATTCCCGTAGGCGTCCGGATTTGTTCGCGCTCTCGCTGATTTTTCTTTTGTATTGTCCCCCCTCCCCCCTTAATATGCACAGCGGTCTGCAGAGGTGCCGGCCGGGACCGAGGGGCAGGGTTTATGTAACTGTCCACAGGGTTCCTCTGGGTCCCGCACGGGGGAGAAACCAGGCCGGCGAGGCTGAGCAGCCGGCCTTCCTCACACTCAGGGATAAAACTTGAAAAGTCACCTAGTTTGTCTCTTGGCCTCCACGCTAGTCCGAAAGGAGCCAGCGTAAATCAGGATTGGGTTTATGGTTGCTGCTTTTAAGGCAGAAATAATCACATTTGTTGAGTGTTTCTGCCAGCCTGAGTGGTTTATAGGCATTCAGTTCTCACCAACCTTCTGAGGTAATGCTGAGTTCATGAAGAGGGAACCAGGCCTGGAGTAACACCCAGGGTCACGCAATAAGCAGCAGGACCAAAACGCATTGGGTCTAGCACCAATAGCCATTCACCATACTGTGACCCCAGAGGCACACCGTGCGGCCTCACCGATTAGCATTACCACCATCAGAAAAGCAAAACAAGCCGCTGGGTGCTCAGGGGTTAAGCGTTGACCTCTGAACCAGGAGGTCACAGTTCGATTCTGGTCAGGGTACATGCCTGGATCTCAGGCTCCATTCCCAGGGTGGGGCCAATAGGTGGCAGCCGATCAATGATTCTCTCATCATTGATGTTTCTCTCTTTCCCTCTCCCTTCCTCTCAGAAATCAATCAATATATAAGTAAAACCAAACAGTTGCTGGTGACGATGCGGAGAGGTGGGGACGCAGGGAGTGCTGGTGGAGATGGAGGTGGTGCACTGCCATGGAAATCACACAGCAATGCAGTGCGTCGGAATTTACATGAAGTTGCCTTGTGACCTAGGCATCCCCTTTCTGAGGCTATACCCAGAGCACTGGAAGCAGGCTCTCAACGAGATGTTTGTACAACCGTTTCACGGCAGCAGGGTTCGCAATGCTTAAAACACAGGAGCAGCCCAGGTGCCCATGGACCACTACAGTGAAGAATGCAGCCTTAGGAAGGAAAGAAATTCTGCAATAAATTACCACAGGATGAACCTTGAGAACGTGTTAAGTGAAAGAAACAGTCACAAAAAAGACAAATGCTGGGTGATTCCACTCATGTGAGGTGCTTGGAATAGTCAAAACCATGGAGGCAGAAATCTACGGTGGTGGCCAGGGGCAGGGCACGTTTGGAGAGTTATGGTTTAATGAGTAGAGAATACAAAATGAAGAGAGCTCTAGAGATAGCCCTAGTCCGTTTGGCTCAGTGGATAGCATGTTGGCTGCAGTCTGAAGGGTCCAGGGTTTGATTCCAGTTAAGGGCACATGCCCAGGTTGTGGGCTTGCTCTCATCACTGATGTTTCTATCTCCCTCTCCCTTCCTCTCTGAAATAAATAAAAAAATCTATTTTTAGCCCTAACCAATTTGGCTCAGTGGACAGAGCATCGGCCTGTAGACTGAAGGGTCCCAGGTTCGATTCCGGTCAAGGGCATGTACCTTGGTTGCGGGCGCATCCCCATTGGTGGTGTGTAAGAGGCAGCTGGTCAATGACTCTCTCTCATCGATGTTTCTAACTCTCTATCCCTCTCTCTTCCTCTCTGTACAAAATCAATAAAATATATTTTTTTTAAATGTAAAGGAATTAAAGTTTGACTCCAATCTTGTTCTGAATGACCCTCCCCTTTCCCCGTGATATTTACCCTTTCTTAGGGGCAATCATGTTATCAGCCTCCTGGGTATTCTAGAGGTAGCTGGTGCCTATTCAAGAAAACACAGAAGTTTCTCCATAAGTGAAATAAGATTGACCCTACTTCCTGGATCTTGCTTGGAAATCAGTATCTTGGAAATCACTCTTACCAGTACTCAGCATTTCCTGCATGGAACAGACAGCAGCAGAGTCTATGTACCTAGTTCTTGATTGGTAGGCACTTAAGTAGTTTCCAAGCCTTTGCTGTTTTAAACAATGCTGGCCCTAGCTGGTTTGGCCCAGTGGCTAGAGCTTCGGCCTTTCGGCTGAAGAGTCCCAGGTTTGATTTTGGTCAAGGGCACATGCCTAGATTTCGGTATGCAGGAAGCAGCCAATCCATGATTCTCTCTCATCATTCCATATATTGGTTTCAATATTGTTTTTTTAGGGAGAGTTGGAGAGAGAGAGGGAAGGACAGAGAGAAACATCGATGTGAGAGAAACACATTGATTGGTTGCCTTCTGCATGAGTCCTGATCAGGCTTCAGGTCTGAGGAGGAGCCTGTAACCAAGGTTTGTGCCCTTGACCGCAATTGAACCCAGGACCTTTTGGTCTGCAGGCCGACGCTCTATCCACTGAGCTGAACCAGCTGGGGCTCATCATTGATGTTTTCATTTCTCTTTCAATAAAAATCAATAAAATATTTTTCAAATAAAAGAAATATTAAACAATATTAAATAATATTAAAATATTAAATGGTGCATAACCTTGAATATATATAATTTAGCAAATACATCTGTAGTATACATTTCTGGAAGTGGAATTGTGAGGGATGCACATGTGTGTTTTGACAGATGTTGACAACTTGCTCCCTGCAAAGCTTGTACGACTTCAGACCCCAGCAATGTTTCAGTGTCTTTCCCCAAACTTCCCCCACAAAGATTTTTTAGCTTCTTGAGCTTTGCCAGCCTAGTAGACACATGTTTTAATTTTTTTCAAAATGACAAAAGGAGACGTTTAAGAAGGGAATTTAGCCTCTTTCTGCAAACTTGTGAATTACTTTTGGGTTGAAGGGACCTCTGTGTGTCCATTCCCTCTTCTCCTCCCTGGAAAGACAACTCATTGCAAACCAGTGTCATGGTGGCATTAGCGTGGGCTCACTCACAAATCTGGACGTGAGTTGCAGGCCCGATAGTGTGGCTATGTAGTCTTCAAGCTCATCCTGCTCCTCCTTTGCAAAAATAAGGATATTAATAGCAACTTCATAGGATTATTAGGAAGATTGAATGACGAAGTCTAAGCAAAATGTCTTCTCACTCGGATAGAAACACTTACTACCCAGGGATTTCCTTAGTCACTGGCCAAGACACCCACTCTCAAGCCACCCACTTCCTTTTGCTACGGAGGCTCCCAAGGAGACACAGGAATCCCAAACGCCCTTCTGCTGAGGAGACCCGGTGGCTGTCATCAGACTCACCCATGGCAGGCGCGGTCACCCTGAAGAGAGGCTGTTCCAGTTCCCCCATGCTGCTTTTCTCCGGGAAAGGGCCCTCCGCTGTTCTTCCCCAGACCACCCTTCCGTCAGGTGCGCAGTGGCTCTTTGCTGCTGCACTGAACACAGGAGGGTGCTCTGACCTCCCGGAGCGTCAGCCGAGCTCTCCTGCCAACGCCATGGCAGCAGGGCCAGCGGGGCCATCCTGGCCCACGGCAAA